GGAATTTTAATGACACACACATACACACACATCGATGCGTATATACACGATTGTCGCAAATTATAAGGGAAAAGCGGCGTGGGGCGCGCACATTTAAAGATTATAGGAACCTATAAAGCTTTAGCCCGCGCAACATTTTATAAAGCCGATTATTCGGTATCTCGAGAGGAGGATGAGGAGGAGGAGGAGTGGAAGAGAATCCGGGGAAGGGGAAAGGTTTTGCCCGTTTCTCCGTTTCGAAACTGACGAATCTTCCAGGAATTCGATGTACGCTCGACCAATCCCGCGATGGAAAACGTTGTATCCCCTTCGTAACAAGGTTGGACAGGATGAAATGATTGTTGGAAGGATGAAATTTCCAAGTGTCTCCGCTTTCGTTAATCCTCTCCTCCTAGACCCCTTTCGAGCTCTCCTCTTTTGTAATTTGTTAATGGAGAAATTAAGGGGGAGAGACAGTAAGTGTGCGCGAGGGCAGGAGCGAGGATGGAAAAAGGATATTTGGAAAGTAGTTTCTTTATTGTTTTAAGATAGATATTTTAAGAATGTTTCTCCTGTTGGAAATCTTATATTATCTCGTGTACAGATTAGAGAAACACTCGTCTTATTTCAGCAAATGAGCAATACATTAGAAATTATTAGTATTCATAATATTTTTACACCACTTAATATGAGCCAAACATATGACCGTTTACACTTTTCGAATAGCTGTAATGACACACAGATGTATTAAAATTAACCAACCACAAAATGATAAAATTCTTATTATATAGCCACTTACAAAAGAAAATATAGATAGCATATATACCACGCGTGTATTAATCATAAACGAAATATGCTAAAAAGGGAGAAATGTTTATTAACTCCCTGCTCGATGTAACTAAATGGCAACTGCATAACAGTGATTTTATAACTCCAAAATGATAAAATTCTGAACACGATCATTTACAATTTCAAATGCAAAGAAAACACGTGTCATCGAGTGTACACATGTAATTAACATACGCGCGTATTAATCGTGCACGTATAGAAAATGCACAGAGATGGAGAAACATCGCAAGGATAAAGAGAGAGAGAAAGAGAGAGAGAGAGAGAAGAAACATTTATTAACTCGCCGGCCGGTATAGCTGGCACGGCTAACGACGACGTTTAGCCTGAAAGAAGGCGTGTGTGCTTGTTTTGAAGGGATCAAAAGGGGGAGAAGGTTGCAGGCAGCGGCCGCCTCTGAAAGCCCGCGAAATTTCCAGCGACGCAAACATTTTTTTTCGCCTTCCCTTCTCTTAGTTCCTCGCTATATTCTTTCCTCTATTATTCTCTCTCTTCCTCTTTTTCTCATCCTTTTTTCTCCCCCTCGTGACTAGAGAAACGAGCGTTTAGGAAAGAGGAGGAGGGGAAGAAGGACAAGTGACGAGCCACGGGTTTCACACGAACGAAGACGTCGCGACAATTATATATGCGACGCCTTATTAT